CCACAAGATGGCCATCACCGCGGGCACGCGAATCTGCGTAGGCCTCCGCATCGCCAGGCCCAGATCCACACCAGCAGCAACAAGCGCCACAAAAACTTTCTCGGGCCGCCACACCTTGACACTTGTCACTGCCTGAAACAAAAGACGCATCCATTCTCGAACGTTGCAGCGCGGCAGGTCTGCCGCGCCTCCTGCCTCCCACCTCAAGGTATCCAAATGGGTCTGAGCACGCGCGACTGCTCCACAATTCCGACACTTCTACCGCATGCCACGGCTGCAACCAAAGAACATAAGCTCATCAAGCACCACTATGTCGCACTGCTGCCGCGCGGGAGGCAGCGCTCGATCGCCCGACCACAACAGCTGCTGACAGACGCCGGCAGGCGCCCAGCTGGGGCACCTGGCCATCAGCAGCAGCTCGTTCGTTCAACACCTGCTGGACAAAGTCTGAATGGCCAATAAAAACCATAGCACGATCAGCTCCCAATGTGGCAAAATAATATGCCCAGCTGTTGCCCAGAACCCACGCTGGACCCAGGCAAGGGGGGGCCCCCGCACACCCACCGCGCCCGAGGAGCCCGCGCGAGATTGAAACCACTCGAACTCGGAGACCTCTGCCCCAGCACTAGAGACCACCTCACGAATAGACTCCCCAATTCGAGCATTCATCGCTTCTACACCTTCGTCGGTTTGGCTTCACCTGCTTCCTTCTTGAACCAAAGCCTGAAGATCCGAAATAACCACTAACGCGCCCTGGAATTGCCAAAACTTGCAGAATAGCAGACCGCAGAGCCATGCCAACGGCGCGCTGCGCTGACGCTCAGGCAACCCACCGCGGGACTCTCGGATCGGATACAGCCGCCGCGACATTTCAACCGCTGACCAACCGCAGGAAGAGCTGACGGATTGGCCGAAACATCTGCAAACCGTTAAATGCCATCGCCAACTTGATCATCCCACTTGCCCCAATGATAGAATCAGTCGTTCATCATGCGTCTGTGATAAAGCAGCAACTCTGGTAACCCAACGCAAAAGCCAAAAGCCTCCAAAACGACTGTCCGCAGCAAGATGGCCCCATACTCATAAACCTCCTCGCGGAACTTGGGGAACTCATCACGCATTGAACGTTCCTCCTCGAACCGTTCCACGTTGCCGACCATCGCGAGGCGCTCGACAAAGAGCTGCCCCGAAACATCATCATCTTGCGCGCGCCACCTGCGCATCCGCGCCCCCCGCCCTGCCGCGATCGAAGAGCCCGGTCTCAGGCCGCAGAGAACCCGACCACGAAGCTCCGAGCGCCCCCGCCGCCACCGGAGACTTCGCCGCGGCGGACTTGGACCCGACGCACAAACGCAGACAGCGAGCCCATAGGACCAGGCCAGCCTCAGCCGCAGGTCGACGTTCAAGAACGCAACGCATCTGCCATCTGCGCATCCGCAGACATTCCCCCACGAACGTAGGCGGCGCGCTGATGAACGACAGGTGGTTGCACAAACCGTCTTCCACAGTAGTAGACGACGCCCTCTCCCATCCAACGCGCAACCATGACAAGTGCACCGCAGCCGACGGATGACGCGCACCTTGCCAACTGACTCCTTTGCTGACCGAGTTACGCCAAGCCCTTTGAATTTCACCGTGCCCACTCGTCTGCCCCCAAAGCATCACGTGCAGCGCGGGCTCGGGGGCGATCGTAGCGTCGCGCGCCAGGCCGTGGCACCCGCCCATCTGAGCGGCGCAATGCAAGGCGACGCCGGCGACCCGCCTGGGACGCCCTGCCATTCGAGCCGCCAAGCCACGCTGGAGTCGCTGGCCCACGCGACAAACCATGACCATCGCACCATGCCCCAACGATGGAAGCAAACAAGTACCCAAAAGTCGGCGATTTTGAGCCCGATCGCAATCCTGAACAGGAAGCCCCGCTTCAGCCGATGCGCGCACCCTGCCCGCCAACTTGCTGTGCAACGCATGCCCAATATTACGCTCTGACTGCTGCTTGGGTCCAGTACAGCAACCAGCAGCCTCAACCGAGGCTATGACGCCCTTCCACAGAAGTAGACTCGAGCCCAGATTTGCTCGCCTGAATCGACAAGACAAGCCCGCGTTCATCACAAATAAAGCCTTTGAGCACATTTCACAGAGATTGGACCTGGCGAGCATCGTGGATGACCCATTGCAGCGACGCGCGATCGACAAGTCCTCGCGGCATCACTCCAGCAAGGCTCATCCTCTCGAGCGCCGTGGCCGCGAGCACCGCCAGGAACGTGGCACCGCGACTACAACAGCCCGCCAGAATACCCCAGCATGGCCGAAGGCAGACCGACACAGAAAATCACGATTTGACGATCCTGATCTTCTGGTGATATTGCGACACCATCCGCGCCAACCGAGTAGGACAGTTAGTTAGCCGACTTTGCCCCATCAGCGCCGCTGGCGATACGCTCTTAAACGCCTTCCAAGCGACGCGCCGATCCGCGCTCGAAAGCTCACCCGTTAGTACCGC